ATCCACATGCTAATGTAAGCATGAATAAAAAAAAGAGAGCACTGCTCCAGCAGAGAACAATTGGATTCTCTGCTGCCTAAACTAAGAGCTAAGACAATTATGCCTAAGCTTTGGTCTCTTGTTTGCAATTCTTGAATCTACCCTGTGAAGACAGAAAACATTATGCCAACATGAAAAGTGTTGAAAAAGAGTACTGATCATATGAAAATATATTCCTATAGTATAGATACCAAGTCACTCTTTTAGTCTAATCTCATTTTTGGTACCTAACATAATAATCTCAGCAAGAGAAAGAATATATTTTAAAAAAGCCAAGTGGCTGCACTTGTTAAAACAAGTGAGAAACAAGGACACTTGATCCCAAACAAATTATTACTATTACAGGTGCTCCTTTCTGCATGTGTCTTCTCAATGGGAAAAAAAAAAAAGAAAAAAAAAAAAGAAAAAAAGAAGCACACATGAAGCTTAGAGAAAGCATACAGCAAGTTCTTCAGTAGCAAAAATTATATGTAGTGCCACAGTTCAATACCCATGCCTGTTTGGGTGTTTTTCTTTAAGTCTGCTTTTTTAAGATCCTGAAGAAGCAAGACAATTAAGATCCATTCCTATTCACTCTGAAATCAGATGTTCTACTTAAATCTAAGTCATACCAATTCAAATAATCTTGCTTTGTTTTGTTTTGTTTTAACTACTGCTCAGAATAAATTTTCTGCTCTGTGCTTTATGGATCTGTAGGATCAAAGCTAGAACTAGAGGTTCATAGCACCACTATGAATGGATAATGCTAAGGACAGGGCAAAAGGGAGGGAGAGAGAATACAACACTTGGGGGGAATTTTCAGAGTGTTATCCCTATTATCATTATTGTGCCTATAAACTTGTCTATGAGACAGAACAAGGACCAATAGATCTTTTTGTTCCCTCCCCCCCCATCATATAGGGAAAATAAAGAACAATATAGAGAAGAGGCTTGTTGACAGCTTTTATGTGAAGGACCTGAATTTAGAAGCCAGTAGGTTTCTGGTTCAGGACCAGTGCTGACAGCACTACAGCCTCTTGTTTTTCTAGGTAAAATGCCACAATCCGACAGCAGTTCAGTAGCTCACTACCTTCCCGCAAAATTTCCATGTTCCACTTGCAGAGGCCTGGCCCATTCATCTTCTTGCCTCCAAATCTGCTCTGGACTCTCTTCATTCCTGCTGTGTCAGTACATTACATTCTTTTAACAGGAGGAAAATATATTAAATAAATAATAAACTGATAACGATAGTCTAAGAAAAGCATATTTCTTTCTCTGTATTTCCCCTCATTTGATTAGTCTCCCAGTAAGAGCAGCATTAATCACTGGGGAAGTAGATGAAAGATAAAGACCAATTTGAATTTTGCTGTGTGCTACTGACTATGTGTGTGTGTGTGCTCAGGCAGCAGGGAGGGAGTTAGCAGGATAATCTGTCATTTTGTATATTTATGCTATTGGAGTTGGTCAGGACTGGTTCTCCATTGTTACCACAGATTAAAATCATTCGTGTCCTTACAGTTTCATTGGAGGTCATCTTTCAGAAAAAAAAGAACACTATAATCAAGTTAAATTGAAACTATTTGAGCAAATCTCTCTATATGGCTTGGGCATTGAGGATATCGCTCGAATCTTAGAAGTACAGCATGTTTTTCTCCTTACCTGACCTGACTCTTTGTACATTAAAAGTGAGTTTTCCTGCTCCAAAGCAGTTAACAGAAAAGAGCTGTAGCAAATGAGAAGAGGTGGTTTTCACATGGCGTTATTAAAATGTATGACAGTTCAACCCAGCCTGACTGTGCACTGCTATGGTAGAAGCCATGGGTCCTCAGAGTGCGGTTGCCAACAGCCCTACTGAAATAAATCCCTGCCAGCTTGGCAAAAAAGACTTCCCTTTATCCGTAGCAAAGACAGAAATTCGCAAAAGGAGAGATTAAAAAGTAGAAGAGTGGCTATTAAGCCACGTAAGAGTATCTCTCTTCTCCAAATCTTTGTCTAATCAAATTAGAGTTGCCTAAAGCATCATCCTACTGCTTCTAGCCATGTCACTCTTCACATTCAAGTCTTGCTGTTTCCTTCCCATATCTTTATGAGAAAGATATAATCTTGTCCTCTGGATCTTATTTCCTTTTCTATAGCTCAATAGTTATTTTTTCTCTATTCATTTTGATAGATTTAGCCACCAGGGTATTCCTAATACTCCTTACTCTCTGGCTCAGGACTCCCAACAAATTATCACTATGCCTGGAACTGTTTTTACCCACAGTATTTCTTTAGGTATGCCCAATCCCAGACACAGTAAAAGAGGCAGCATAGCACCAATAGAAAACCTCAAAGCAATAAGAGCAAAGAGACAAAAAGACCAAATTTTCTCCAAAAACACACTCTCAGAAAGCACAAGGGGAGCATCTGCAGTACCAAGGAAACTGGAATCCCAAGTCCTCACCACTCAGGCTTTATTTTCCTGCAGAAATTTTGTAACAAACTGTAAACAAATTCTTATCTTAAAGATTATAATAGAAGTAATTATTGAAGTCAAAATGAATTACATCCCACCGGCTCTTAAACTGTCTAAAATAGAAGAAAAAGTAATGGTAATTACATAACTCATTTTCCTAATAGTTATTTTTACGAGACATACCATGATAGACATATATTGTAAATTAGCGACAATTAATCTACAGATCTGTCCATCTACCTACAGATGAAACTAGCAAAATCCTGCTTTTTGCTAGTTAACAACATCATAAAACCCAGTGCATTAATTAGGTGATTTCAGAAAGTGGATCTGTCACAACAGCTTAGATATTTTTCTAAATTCAATACAGTCATCCATATATAAGTTAGGAAAGGTAAGAAGTACATTCCCACCTCTCAGCCAGTCTTGTAAAAAAAAAGAAAAACATCCAAATGGAACTGTATGCACTGGAAGCTTTCTGGCAATGTCTGCAGCTTCTAGGCATTTTCCTTCCTTTTATATAAAAATAGCAAGCAGAACAGATACACTCTAACAATATGTGACCCAATCCCACAACTATATTTGAACTACAACCATTCACTGTACATCATTTAATCCTAACCAGTTGCTTTTGCAGTATTGGAAGTCTTTATCACACGTTGTTGCTGCGCAACCAGCCTAGAACAAAACACTTTTCCTATACTATCATTTTGCTTGTGATCAAATGTATGGTCAACTATAGCAGCTTTAGTCCTGAATACTGTATTAACCAGATTTGGAAAACAATCTTCCATGTAACTTACAAGAATCCATTGTGGCAGGGCAGATGACATGTCTAAATGCACAAATGGATCACGTGCCTTAAAAAAAAAGTGCACAGTGATGTGATTAAGCGTACTTTCTGAGAAATGAATAACTGCCTGTCTTAAGTAGATCCACATCAGTTTACTAGAGCTGTTATTACAGATTCTTATTTTATTACAGAAAAAAACATGCATTTGGTCACCTGAAATCAAGGGAATATTTCAAGTAGCTCTTGACAAGAAGAAATTTTACCAGTGAAAATCTAAAAAAAAAAAAAAAAGTTGAAATTCCTAAAAAAGTGCTAGCCCAGGTCTCTTCCTCATACATTGGCCCAACATTTCATTTCAAAAATTCATAGTAGAGTAGAAATTAGTGGCCGTTTCAAAACCAATTGATATTTTACTACAACTCCCATGCAGCTGTTCCTATCTGCATGTTTAAGACAATGTAAACTCAATCATTGTACAAATCAATTAGCTAACTCAGTCCTTTCTTAGCCTGAATAAATAGAAAATGTGGATTCTCAGTAGGACCCACAGAGAAGACGCTCAAGAAACTACATGACAATATCACTACATGAAAATAGGTTAACCAAAGCGAGTGTGAGCCATATGCTGAGAAAACACTGTGTGCACCAAATTGTGACACTCAAGTTTGCTACACATATCATCAGTGAAGTCTCTCCAAGGAGTAATGCAAGAGTTGTCTCCATTTGGAACTCATAATAGTTATCAAGTTCAATGTTCAAATAACACTGCCGATAATGTCAATAAATGACAGCAATCATCAGCACATAAATGAGCTGTTTTACAAATGCAATGATCTGTGCTAGTGTAATTGTGCTTAGGAGAATTACAGAACTAAGTTTATTTCTATTGTCAGTACCTGCTAGCATCTGGAAGCAAGGAAGATCAGAAAAATAATAGTACAGTAAAATTATGTTCTCTTTTTGGATGGGTATTGAAACCTCGGATCCAGAAGTGCAGCACACGTATCTTCTGCAGAAGGTGAATGAAATAATGAAAATATAGGATCATATTTCAAATCATAAGAGCTAATTTGAATATCCTGATCACTACATCAATAAATATAATTTATCCTCCCCTCCAGCTTCCAAACCACATTATGATCATATCTCTTCAGAAAAGATGTGACATTGAATAGACAAATGCTATTTTGTGTGTTATGTTGCTGAAATGTAAATCTATGATCTCACTCAATACAACTGCTGGTCAGAGGAAAGGATGCTAGTCTGAAAGAAGGTACAAGACAGAATTTCTGGTCTCTTTAGGAAAAAAGCAGTTCAGGAAAAAGCAGCAAAGGAGGCACAAAAGCCAGACCACCTAATTCTCAAGCAGTACCAACAGACCAATGAAGTCCATCTTTAAAGCAGATACCAAGAAAAAAGCTTTTTTTCATTAGAACTTTACGGTCTTTGAATGAAAATGTCACTAGTGAGTTATAAGAAGCAAAAAGTAAATTGAAGACCAGTCTATTTCCCCATAAGTTATTATCTGTGAGTATTAAAGAAAGTACCTTGGCAAGATCAAAGAGTGACACAACTGTATTTGTCTTAGTTGACTGAAAATGTCTAATTAGACTGACAAATCTGTGCTGCTTTCCTTTGTGAGATACACAGAAAGAAAGGATTTAGCCTGGACCTGCATATTCTGGAAAGACATTAATCAAGATTATTGGAGCCTCCGTCTAAAATAAATTTAACAGGCTGGAATGCCTAATGGTTAAAATCAAAGGTTGAGAAACTTATTCCGGGACATACCAATGGGCTGAGCACTCTACATGGATAATGGATAGAAATCTTTATTCTTTATAAAGAATATTCTGCATAATATATGTCATACACTGTAATGTTGTCACTTTAAGATCATAGCTGAAAACACCCACAAATAATTTATTATTTTAAATTCCAAGCTATATTTGAACAGTTTGGCAAGCATTATCCTTATCCTTACAAGAAATTAAGATGTGCACCAGATCTTCAATAGAGTACGTATTTTATGCTTCCTCATGGACAGCATAATCATAGAATCACGGAATCCTTAGAGTTGGAAGGGACCTCTGAAAGCCATCTAGTCCAACTCCCCTGCAATGAAAAAGGGACATCCACAGCTTAATCAGGTTGCATGGGGCCTTCTCCAGCCTCTCCTTGAAAGTCTCCAGGGGCAAGACATCTACCACATCACTGGGCAATTATCCATCTGACCTCCCAGAAGGGTACTGATTTCTTTTCCACAGAAATTTTTCCATGGTTTTGGTCTTATGACGCCAGCTATCCAAGCCATGGAGCAGACATATTAGGGGCCTGTCCCAGGTCAGTGAGCTCTACAATCTCCAAGAAGCTTATCTGAAACAGATCTCTTTTTACTTTCCTTCAGGACCACTCTGAAGGATATTTGAATCACAGACACATTCCTATCAGCAATTTAACTACTATGAAGTTATACGTCTCACCCATTTCTCACACAAATTCTTCTTGTCTTCCACTAAACTGAGTTTCATTTCCTTGCAGAAATAGTATACATTTTGAAATATAATTAAGTTATAGATATTTTAAATATTAACGTTATTGCCACATGATATTTCCAGTAACATTTTTCTTTGCTTTGGATGTTTGTTTAAGACCATATCCCACTATAGTCTGGGAGCTTAACATACTGTATAGTGTGTCACTGGTCTGTGTATATGCAGTGTATTTTTAAAGCATTTCATTTTCCCATTTTCATTAAGTAAAACTGTAGTCTAAAACACTACTGGCAGTGTTAACAAATTACAGGAGATATTCTGATGTACAATACAAACAGAAGTTTGCAGTTACGCTGTTTTGTATTTAACAACAAGTGATATGTAAACCTAAATCCTACTAAAATTGTTTTGGATTTTGTATCACTTTGGGATGATGGATCTTGAATCTTGCACAAGCTTTATACACATTTCAAAAAGGAGAAGTTTTAACTTCTTACATATGAAAATGAGCAATTCAAATAGCACAGACTGTTCTAATACAGTAAGAATAGTTATTTAACCTGATTTTTGACATTAGGTATTAGATAGTTTTCTTTGTATCTTAGCTGGCATTTCTGCAATGAATCAGAATGCTTCTATGCTAAGTAGTGTACTCATGCAGAATTTGTTCATTTTGAACTCACAGAGTTTTCAATTTAAGTATAAAACATTATATTGCAAATAGATACAGGTAAATTGAATAAAGAGAATAAAGGGATGAAAAATGTGACAATATTCATAAACTTGATAAACAGCTACCCCAGAACATCATCAGCATAACCACTGCAAACTTTTTCAACATGGTTAAAGGAAGGTTTCAGTAACACTGGAAGTATAACCTAGTTCTGCCTTGCAAACAGTCAACTGGAAGCAGAAAGATTCTTATGATCAAATTTAACGTGAGCCTCCCCCAAAAAATAATAATACTGATAAGCATGGGAAGGGGAGAGGCTAAACAGAAAGGCCTTGAAAGTAAAGAAAAAATGTTTATTTCTGAGGAAAACAGGGGAGAAAAACTGGAGTAGGGTAATAAATAACTGCACATAGCCCCAGGTGGCTATATTTAACATTCCCCAAAGAGCATATTCATTCTATTTGATTTTTCTACCACTTAGAACTGAAGTTGTAAGCAGGCCTGACAACGGTGATGTCTAACACTAGCAAGATAAAACAACCATTAGGCATCTCAAAACCACAGCTGGAGATACTGCCCAAAAAGAAAATGACGATTTCTTCTCACTTTTACTGCAGAAATAATGCATTGCAAGCTGACAGAATCAAATTCTACCAAAAGTAAGGAAGAAAGTAGAGCCATTTGTGCTGTGGCAGCAATAAAATGTCCCAGTATTGAAATGCAGAAACTTGTAATGGAGATCCATATTGACTTTCATCTTGCTTTCAGTGGGCAGTATGAAGTGTCAAAGAGTTATTGCTTTAATATCATCTAAGATGAGACCATTTGTTGTGGTGCGTGTGTATCCAGGAAATCATTGCTCTAACCATGTTTTTAGAAGCACTTTGACACTTTATTAAATCTTCTTGATGCACTTTTGTCATACAACGGTCTCTATAGGCCCACTGAACTACCACGTAGTTTAGGCAGGAAGCTTTCTGGAAGATTTCCTCATCAAACATTGCAGGGTGATTTCCAGCTTCACTCAGACCACTAAAGTCCAGTACTAGTCTCTGTTACATTCCTATAGCTAAACACAGTTCTGTTAACTTTATAAATCATAGAAAATCTCCAATAAACTACAGTAACAAGAGCAGGATCTGGTCAACACTTCATTCTTCTGGAGATGTAATTAAACAAAAATTTTCTCTAAAATTAGAGGAAGCTTTTGAGGAGAAGGAACACTAATTCTTTCACAGTTTATGACAAACAGAGAAGAAACCTTGAGTAATTTCTCTTTATTTGGCTGCAACTTTTAAAAATGATTACTGAGTGTTTGAGTCTCATAATTCAGTCCTGCTACCAACTGGATGTAGTGCCAAAGTTGTTGGGGCAACACTAAAACTTGGCTTGAAATTCATTTTTCTGCTGCAGCAAAAATAACTGACAGAACTGCAGAATGGTTGATGTTGGAAAGGACCTCTCTTTCCATCTGGTCCAATCCCTGCTCAAGCAGGGACATCCAGAGCAGACTTGGTGGCTTTTAAAGATCTCCCTTTCAAGAACGGAGACTCAAAAGCTCTTACCCACACAGTGAAAAAACACTTCCTGATGCTCAGACAGAACCTACAGCATATAGTTTGTACTGGTTGCCTCTTGTCCTGTCACCAGGTAGCACTGAAAAGAGACTGTCTCTGTCTTTTTTATATCCTCCCTTACTGTATTTGTTCACATCGATAAGATCCCCTGAGCCTTCTTTTATCCAGGCTGAATGGTTCCACAGCTCTCTGAAATTCTCCTCATAGGACAGATGTATCAGTCCTTTAGCCACCTCAGAGGTCCTTTTCTAGACCATCTCTAGTAGTTCCATATCTCTTTTATGCTTGGGAACCCAGAACTGAACACAGCGCTCTGGGCGTGGCCTGACTTCCTAATATAGTTAAGAGGACAATTTTTCATAACCTCAGTGATCAGTGCTAGATTTAAAGTAAAGAGAATAGCCATATATACACAAACACAACCAGTAACTGATTAAATCTTCTGAAACAGTAGAAGACAAGTGTGTTACTTGCATGATTCTAGATTTCAAAGTACTTTATTTCATTAGGTTCTTCCATTTCAAGCAGAAGAAATTGTTTCAGAGAAGGAAATGGAATCATTTAAATTTTTTTCTCTAACTGGACAAAAAATACCTTTAATGAAGGCACTCTATGATCAATAATCACTAGGTGGTGTCTCAGTCAGTATACATGAGTATCAACTTGATGAGGATCTTATGTAAATAAAAATTTTAGAACATGTACTTCATCCTAGTTAATACCGTGATAGTATACTACTGAAATAAATCATTTTGAAATACTAATCCACTACTCAACCGATTATTTCTTTAACCTATGCATACAAGAAGAGCAAATATAAGGTTTTTATTTCTAATCAATACCACTGTCTGGCTATAACCAAACAAGTAGTTCAAAACAGCTGCATTTTTAGGTATGAACACACTATGTTGGTACAATCTGGCTAGAATACCTGAGATCTGTTTATCATAAGAATGTGTTTTACCAAAGATGCTGAAATTGCTCTATGTTGGAGCAACTTCATTTTGCAAGAAAGTGATCTAGATGGTGTGAAGGCTGTAAAAGGAAAATGAAAAATGGCTCAATCAGGATGTAATGCTCCACTGCTTTTCACTCCATTATGAACATCAGTGTTGCAGCAGTATATAGCATCATAGTGATAAATAACCATATGCACACCCCCCTATAAGGCTTTGTTACTCTCTTAGCAATACATTTCACAGTATATCCAACTGAAAAAACATTTAAAATCTTGTTCTAATTTCCTTTGGAGCAATTTTACTTACCTAAATATGGTTGCAGTTGAACAGGAGAAAAATCTGTTATTATTACATTATTATAAATACATGTAATTCATTGAGTTTGTTCACCAACACAAGAGGACAGCACATCGTGTGTTGACTTATCTTCACAAAAACATTAAGAGTGGAACATGATTCAGATAACAGTTCTAGTGAACTTACAAATGAGCAGAGAAATGAGATTAATTAAGAACCCAAGGAAACATCCAAGACCAATTGACTCACCTGGATGCTAGGTGGTGAACGATTTTTTCGGGTTGTAGTGGTGGCCATCGTAGTTGTGGTTTCCATGACAGTAGTAGACATTTCTGGTGGCACAGAGGTTGTGGGTGTTGTTCCCAAGATGGAAGGGACCTCCCCGACAAGACGGACACTTCCATTGATTTTAATGTTAGGGTTGTTCTCTGCTGCCATGTTCAACACTTTCAAGCCATTGTAATAGAGACCGGAGAGTTGGCCTTGGAAGAGACGCCCTCTGTCTTTTCCTCCTATGGCTATTTGCGCCTGGGTGTTGAAGATCGTTAACTGTCGTCCTAGTGAAGGGGGGTGGAACAACATTATTGCTAGACATTTCCTTTACTTTGTACCTTACATTGAATCCTGGCCAGAAATGATAGACAACAAAGAAATAGATTCATTCTCAGTGTTTATGAAGACTGTAGGGTAGAAATAGAATATGAAAATGTATTGCCTGTGATTCATTAATAATAGAGATTATTTTGAAAGCAAGAACGCCTGAACCCTCATCCATCCATAGCCACTTGTGCATCAAAAATCCAGAGTAGCTATGATACAGTCAGAAACCTGAACCCGCTTCTTTAGAGTTGGACCAATCTTTAACTACTAAAAAGACTTCAATATGTGGCTTTTTTTTTTTCCTGCTATCAATTCAAATTACAGTACCTATCAAGCTTTAAAAAACCTTTTTTAAAACCTTTTAAAACCCATTCAAAAAACCTTCCCTTTTGACTGGTCAAAGCGTGGAATTGTCTCGTAAAACCATTTTTAACATTGCAAAGGTGTTGAGGGGTGGCCTGAGGAGATAACACCAGAAAAATTGGTGGTGATCAACTGTTAATCACCATCTATACAGGAATTGTAAATGAAACTTAAGATAGGCTTATTCATGATCTTCCACCTGAAAATTTTTTGTTGTGAAGGCTCACGAAACTAAAACCAGGAAAACGCAAACACTAACATCACAATGTCTCTGAAAGAGCGAAGTTCTTGAAACAGTAAGAATAACAACTACATCCCAGAAAGCCTTACATGTAAATCCCACTTACAGATGTTTACATTCAAGAGTAGGCAAGTTAAGTGGTTTATTCAAGGTCACACCTTGAGTATTAGGAGTGGATTGATATAATATGTAATAAGAAACACACTTTTAAAAAAATAAATCCTTATAACAATTGTCAATTCTATTTTTGCAGGCCACTTAAATCACATTTAGCCTTGTCTGCTCTATAAATACTGCGTATGTCCCAGGCTAAGAAATAAATTGCTTCATGCAGTGCAAAGATAGTGCCTATAATTTCACTGTTCTTCAGAATATTAGGACCACACCAGTTGGATCTGTTGAATTACAAGAGAGACAGACTAGGCACTGCTTTGAAGGATTATCAAAACAGCATCAAGACAACCACCATTCAAATATTTGTGTTCTCCTGCTTTTATGAAATTTGTACCATGTGTCCCCATCCCATTCCCGCTCCCCAGTTCTCATTCACCACTTCCTCTACAGTCCACTCTGACTAGAAGTGCAAAAAGCCACCATGTAGCAAAGCACAAAGTATAGCCCACTGCTCATTTATTCACAGACAGTGGTTAAAGCAGATCAAAATACAAGGGGGAGCTCACCAATTTTGGTGGTCGTCGTGGCAGGTCTCGAAGTCAAGTGGTGATGCGGTGTTGCATCATCTTATGGTGACAGGATGGACCATGGGGAAGAGAATGGGGACAAGAGAAGAAATGTATCTGAAAGGAGTTCCTGTCCCCAGAGAGGGCCCTAGTTAACTGAGCAAAAGTGTATGGAGAGGTGCAACGTATAGACACATGTGAAGGTGAGTTGCGCACCCCTTATGCTCCTCACCCACAGATTTGTAAATGAAACACTAGGACTTGATCAGGGTGGAGGAACAGCACTGATGAAAAAATGAGAAATAAGAAACGAGGGTGCCCTTCCCATGGAAAATGTTTAAACACTCGACGCAGCATTTTGCATCTTAGGATGTTTTAAACTTACCAGAGGATCTTTATGTATGTTAAAGCAATAAACATGCACTGGAGCCACAAATTCCCAGCATGTAAAATCAGAGCAGGTTTGGTTTTTGTTTTTTTTTTTCCCCTCAGTCTTTCTGCTTGTCTATGAGGAGAATAGGATCCAGTAAAAATATCCATCAAAATGTACAGCTCTTTCAATCCAAGTCCCCTCAAATCTAGAGGAATTGGTACTGTACACTGTAGAAGGCGAAACTTGTCATATACTACGGCCTCAGAGACTGATTTTCTTCCTAGTAGCTCTGTCTTGTTGTGCATTAGATTTTCTAATGGACATGCTGTCAGTTCCTTACTTCACCATCTTCTGTTCTCCTCACATATTCCCTCTCCCTAGAACTACATTTCCTTCCATGCTGTTTCTGTCCCTACACACCCAGACACTTCATTTGTATTGTTCCATCCTTCCCACTTCACTTATGATACAGTGCCAAAAAATGGAGATGAGGTGAATCAATAGCAGGGAATATCATCACCCATCTTCTTTCACTAATCTTGAAATGACACTGCTGAAAATGAAGGGGAAGTGCTGACCTTTCAAAATTTCCCAGTTCTATTCATTTTTTCTCCTTGAACCAAAACTGTCACTTTCTATCATCTTTTACCAAAGGGAAAAGGGGTGGGCAATGGTGAGGAAGAATCATTTTTTACTGCTCCAGGAGAAGAGCTTCCTAAACCAGGCAGGAAAAGAAAGGGGTTCTGGTTCCTCCCATTTTACTGGAGAATTATGGACCTACAAAAGATGTCATTCACTTCGTTCACTCTAACCCAAGCCCATAGTACATCTTTAGATATGTCTGTCATATCTTTTTTTTTTTTTTTCAAAATGAGAAATTAGTACATTAAAGGTGGGAGCTGGGGGGTGGGGGTGGGGTGAGGGAGAAGGAAAATCACTTCTCTATTTCCAGGCTTTTTTCTGCATCTTCTAATGCTGACACCTTACCCCAGGGAAATGGCCACACTCCAGTAAAAAACAAAATTTTGATTGTGAATTTTGGAGTTGTCCTTGTTCAGTAAGTGGACTGCCAGTTCAGGACAATTCATGCACTACACCATATGGTAAACACCGCAGACAATACTGGTACTGGAACTCTGTTTGCTAAAAGAACAATCACTTGATTGAGTTATCTATAATATGTAATTCTTTGCTCTTCATTCTGTGACGGCGTACACATGCATGAATAAAGACAACAGGGAAATGCATATGAAATGAGAGAATATCATTGAGAAAATGTACACATAATTCTGCCACCACTGACCTCTTCTAACTATTTTTTTGATTATATGTTAGCCCTTGATCCCCCCCTAAGTGAAACTTACTGGGCTGCTGAATTTGATTGAGGAACTGTATTTATAAATTCTATTACATGTGTAAGGGTTGTGAGCTTATAGGCTATATTTTCCACAAAAAAATTCTTCCCACTGCTTAGCGTCATAGTAGAGAAAAATGACAAGTGTATTTTGTGTTTCTGAAGTGATCTTTAAACATTCTGAGTAGTTCAAGTTCTCATTTGTTTGTCTCTCATTGACTTCTTCATTTGGAGAGCTGAATACCAATAAGAAATTTCACTGAGAAATCTTAGTGAAATATAAGCTTTCTGTAATGCTAGGAGAGATTTCAGGCCTGATTTTGCAAACCCAAATTCACATCAACAGTTCTTGCTCCAAAAGTGCAGTTGTTCGCATCAATGAGACCTCTCACATAAGAGGAATTTGCAGAATTAAGAGCTTCCAGAATCAGACCTTTTGTTGAAACGTATCTGTGACTTTATCAGCTCCTCATACTGCAGAACAAACATCCAAACGAGGTAGCAAGCACCAGGTATTCTACTAATAAAATAACCTGGTTTTATGATATCTGAAATTGAACAATTTAGAACTTTTTTTAAAACTCACAGTCTCAGTGAAGTTAATAGTGGTTAATGTTTTACGTATTACTCGTATAATTCAAGATTGTAGGTGTGTACCTCTCTGAATACTGTAAACAATTTATATAATTAAAAAAAAAAAAAACAACCCTTCAACTTTAATGCTGCCACTTCAGAAAGATGCTGCATTATATACATTTCATTATTATGAATTATATAATAGTGGTACCAAAATAATGCCAAATCTATGGCAGTAAAAAACTCAATTAGAATGTGTCTAATCTTACCCCACTCAAGCCAAGAACTAACAATGGAAGACAGCTTTTCTGTGCGTTAATTCACTTATGAATCTGTCTATTCCTCCACTCATCAGTTAATCTTATTCAATTTTGATAGTGAGCTATGCCTTCACTCATCATCTTTATACAGAAGGTATCTATGATTCAGTAAGTGTTGGATGGATGACCAGATGGATGAGCAGACTGGTGAACAGCTAGGTCAATTCTTCATTCTGATTTTTTGGATGCTATATAATTTGCTGAGAAGGTCTATCTACATTGGAATGGAGGAACGAAGATGTATTGTTACAGGTGTTGCACTGCATGATGCCATTTTCCTAATACACAATGTGAAGATTGAATTTCCTTTCGCTCTGGGAAAATCACACGTATATGCATCTAGCCTAAAATCATTCTTTCCTTCAAAAGTGTCTGCATTCTCAAATATTGTCGTTCAGATCCCACTGCATGTGTGATTGTCTTTTAACAAAGCATCAATATTCACAAAAAGTAGACTTCAATTCAAATCTTTAGGATGGCTTACAAAGGGAAAGTACCTTGGCATGCTTATAAGCTCAAACTTAGAGAAGCAGTGACACAAAATAAATCAAAGAAAAAACTTGTAGAAAACCAAAAAGGAAAATAAAAGATATGGAATAAAAAAAATGGGTTCTCAAGCACATGAATAGCATCAAAGAATTCGACATGCATCCGTTTTAATAAAGTTGAGGCAATCACTGTCTTTAGTGTTAAAGGGACTTTAGCAATTCAAACTTACCAAGATTATCCACTGTTTAGTGTTAAGCTTTATTTATTTAATTTAGTTTGATCTTGTAAATTAACAGGGTACCCCACTGAGATTCAATAAGCATTTTCTGTATACCTTTATCTAAATATCTTCTTACTAGCAAGCAGAAACAAATTGTTCCATGAAACCATGATGATCAAAACATATTTCTGTTTTAGTTATACAATTTTCTTAGCTTTATTTATAAACACATCAGAGTTGTAGACCAAATCTGGAAAGTGGGCAACACTGCCAGCTGTCACGGAAATCAATAGGAACTGTGTGCACAGCACTTTGAAGGATGAGACTTTTCACAAAAAATATTTTGACTGCAAGTAGCTATGTTTTTAATGGCCTCAACTTGATCCCTGCTGGCTAAGTCAATTTTCTAATTCAGGTGTGGATAGAAGTTAAAAACAAAATATAGAATATATTTTTCCCATTGCACAAAATTTGATTTTTTTTCTTGGAAAATTTGGTAATACCCACAGACTAAGTCAACACAGAAAATGCAAGATTTGAGTTCAAAGGTCACCCACTTTTATCAGCAGTACTTTCTTTAAGGGAAATCAGAGAAGATTGTGTTCTGTTTTCCAAGGCTTAAAAGAAAGAAACTACCTCTAGTGATTTTTTAATTTAGATAACACGTTTAGTTTAGAAGGAAAAGAACCAGCATTACCAAGAGACCAGCCTAAATCCTGCTGAAATCATTGAGAGTTATTAAGCTATCTTCAACAAGCTTTGGAATGAGTTCTACATCCAAGATTTAGTACTTCTCCAAACTCTTTATAAAAGAACATTACTGTTCTGACACAAGACCCATTTCAGCTGATCACTGAAGTGTATGTAGAATTCTCACTTAAGCCAATTGGACTTTTGCATATTGGTAAAAATTTTGTTGAACTGAGGCCATTTACTCCAGAGAAGCTCACAAAAGATAACAGCAGTACCCTAGACTATGGTAGGGAAGAATTTGAGTTCAAACATAAAATGTATTATTTGAGTGTTGAAATTGTACTCCACATAGAGAATAAAAGCAACAGAACGATCATCTTTCTCTGTCTCCCTCACTGTAGTTTAAAAGAAAATGTTAAAAAATGTTTTCTTTACAACATTTTTTAAAATTGTTTAGTTATTTGAAAACAATTAGAAAACACATAGTTACAGTGGCTGGTCAGACTAATGGGAAAAAAGAAACTTACAGGAAGTGATTTAATAAGGTTTGAATTTTTTTTTCTTTTAAGAAAACTTTGATAATAAAGATATGAATGCAGTTTTAAAACAAATCATAACAGGAAGATCATGCAGTGGTGAAATTGCCATAATACATGTTGTTGCTCTCATCCTTTCTTCATTTTATTTTGTTAGAAAAAGTCTCCTGAATTTTTGCTTGTTTTTCATTACTGTGATAGCAAGCTCAGAATTTTGTCCCTTTAACTGCATTTTAATAGCAATGTATTATAGCATGATTTATCAACATATGGCAGGTGGAAGCTGACACAAATTATAATGAAAATTAAAACAGTCATTTATGCAGCAGGCGATTATCATTTAAGAAACATTTATTTGCAGGCTTTAAAAATGAGGGTTTAGAATCAAATGGGTTTAAAATGAAAGTTTTAATGACTATTACCTTTTTCCTGCAGCCACTCCTCTACAGGCCGGTTATATTTGAAGGGGATTTTCTGTTTTACCATTTGGAACCGTTCACTATCAGTGTTGCCTTTAAAGTTTAAAAAACAGCTTAAAAACAATCTGAAAAGTCAATGCAATGGTTAAGACATCCTAGATTTTTTGTTTGTTTATGACTTTATTTAGCTATAAATAAATAAGCACATGCGTGCATACATAATATATTTGAAAGAGATTTATCTTTAGTAAGGTGGAGAATAGTTATACATCCAATTGCCTGAGGTTCTGGAAGGTCAAGGAAGTTAAATCCTATGAATAACATCTCTCCTTAATTTTCAGAGTATTTTCTTATCCAGCTTGGTTAAAAGGCATGTAGAATTTGTCCAAGACATGAGACCTTGGATGAACTCAGTGACATGAGTTAAAACATTTTGAACAGACTCTAAATCTGATGGTGAAAGAATATAGCAGAACATGAAAGATATGTCAGTCACACAAGCATACAAATAGCAGCATTTTGATAAACCTTCTTGCAGTAGTACAAGATATGTGTTAGGACTTGAAAACTGGTAAAAAGAATTGAGGAAATTAGAAGAAATTAATGGTGAAAGGATGTAATAGAATTAGATTAAAAAAAAAAAAAAAAAAACTCAAAAAAGAGTAAGAAAATAGTAAAAAGAAAAGTAACAATTAAAAACATGAAGAAATGTTAATTAAATATAAATGAGGACTTATGTCCAGTTACCAAAGACTAGGGCCAGTTGCCATAGGAAAACAGAAGTTTAGAAGCTAATATGAAAGCAGAAATGATTTATACTTTAAGTATAAATTTCGTGCAGTTCAGTTGTTTCACATTAATGCATAACTGCAACATTCAGTAAAGTGTATTTTGAAGAAAAGCATTTATCACTCACAGGGAGCACAATACAGATAGGGATAAGAGTCAAAGTCTGTCTTCATATTCCCTAGATATTCAAAAAAGCCAGGTACAGATCAGAAGGGTTGATCTAACCTTTAGTAGAAAGGCACAATATGGCTTGATTACATTAGGAGTGATAAGAAACAAATGCCATCATCCTGCTTTTGTTTTCTTCAACTACAAGTCACTTTGTGACTCATTCTAATGTTTGCTTCATGTTTTATTTTTATAGAAGCTGTTTCATCAGATAGGCATAAAAAGAGTGTCCTTTTAATAATAATACTGTGAAAACTAGAAAAACAGAGTAAGCCCCCAGTTTACTGTGGTATACTACCATGAACAGATCCTGCACGCCAGTGCTCCAATACATGTTTGGAATAGGTGGTAGTCCAAGAATCACAAGTGCTCTGCAAAGTTTGTAATGCTTCTTTTGAAATCCCACAAATAAATAGCCTAACAGGACTTTATGTTAATCTGAATTTTGAAGCAGATGCTGGAATCTTTTTTCCAATGTAAATACATCCTGAAGAAATATACATATACATGTATATTTCCTTGACTACATACATATATATGAATAACAGCAGGATGCTTCACCTGGTCAGCGGTAGAGATTTTCAAACTGCAAGGAATATGACTGGTAATAAAGGTCTGGCTGTAGAAGGGAAAAGTGTAGTGAAATGAAATTTCTCAGAAATAGAACATCTCATAAGAACAGGCCAGCAAGACTAAGGTAAAAAGGAAATGGGACAGTGAAAAAGACATGACAGTTAAAAATGAATTTCTTGTAAATGACCTTCAAGAAAGCCAGAAATGACAACTATTGCCCACCACATCTTTAAATCTGTTTTAAAAAATCAGGTTTAATTTAATTTTATTATTATTATTAGGCAGATATATTCAGCAAGATTAATATATGTATAAAATGATACCTTTTAAAATCTATGAAAAGCTGAAGGACATTAGAAAATTCAAATAGGTTTAAAATTCAACATTAGCATCTGATCTAACTTTTTTGTTTTGCTTTTAAATTTTATTTCATACATTAGTGAGAATAAGTTTTAAATAAATGTGCATGAGAACATATTTGTTGATATACACGATTACAACAGAGTTAGAAAACAAGCTTTCCCTTTTCAAGAGCTTGGGTTGTTCAGCAAATACCATTAAACACATACAATTATTAAATTAATATTGATTTTAAGCTTAAAAAAATAAACACAGCATTTGATATGAGACTTCAGAAAGGAAATATCATGGTTGCAACAAGAAGTGATGTAAATTCAACATGAAGTAAGTTCAGTAATGATCCTTTTGTGACCTCAGTGCAATGCCTTTCTAGAACTATATGACATATATGCCCACATGGTTGAACAATCCCTTCACTCACATAATCTGGACTCCCTTCCTTCTCTTTGAGTCCAGCTCTAATCCAAAGCCTTATTTCAGAAAGGAATATGTAGGATAAGATGAGTCATTTTGGTTCAGTTTAGAAAATGTATAGTTCCCATAGTTCCTTTGAATTCAGAATCAATGTAGGTCTCAAAGGCCTGCAGAACATTATTTGTTACAAAAAGGTTGTACCAGTTGGTGTTGCTACTTGTGATTGACTAAATATTTTTCCAACCATAACTTCTAATTGTTTAAATAATATAAAGAGAAATAGAATATTGTTATTTAAGATAATCTCCACCCTTATTCTTCTGCAGAAAGAAACCCTGTACATTAAAATAGTTTATAGACTGCTTCAATACTCAGTTTCATCTATAAAAACTCAAGCTCAGAAATGCATTCCTTCACATATTTTTCTCCCTCCTCATGCAAAATTCTCTAATACAATCAAATCCAGATGCATGATGATGGGGATAAAACAAGTCTGTTATCCCATTTAATACTCATACGTGCAACTACAACAAATCCAGCTTCATCTCCGAAGTTTACTGATACTGGAAATGCAAATATGCTGTAAAACCTCAACTTTCCAACACATTGTTAAGTATCTAGATTCTTATGATCTCAAGGTTTTTCATGGTAGCATTTTGAAATGTTCTGGATCCCTGAATTCTTTTTAACCTGAACATTCAAAATATCTGGTACGTATATAATAAAATTTAACCTGCTGGCTAAATACTTTTGGTTGCCAGTCTTTTATCTTTTCATGGATCCCCCAGTATATTACTGCTAAAACTGACTACACAGATATACATAAATTAGATTCAATTCAGATCAAACTAAAATGGGAAAAATCAACAGAATTTACTTCTGCTAATCACTATTAGCAGTTCCCACAGGAAATGTTTTTATTCATAGTAAGATCTCAGGGAGAGATACTTAAAATTTTCTCATGGGCAAAGTAGAATTTTCTTCCAAGACCTTACAATGTTGGATGATGTTTTACTTACCCTTGCATGGCTCTTTAAGGAAACAGTCAATTTTTTTTCGCCTTAACACTTATTTCTAAACAAAAATGGATTTTTAAGCCAAAGAAATTAAAAGAGAGATTGAAGCTCTGAAAAATGTTTCTTCTTGGCCCAGATATCAATCACAATGATTTACTGCCTTTTGGTAAGAAAGAGAAAAGCCAAAAGATTTCAGCAAATTGCACTGTGCAGAAAGGAAGTGTTTGCTTCCAGGTGGAATATTAATACAACCTGACGTGTTGTCAAGTCTGTGAAGATGCTAAGAAGAATATCCTAAGAAAACATTAATCTGTTCTAAATTAATGCCAAAGGCTGTTTTATGAAGAGGGAATACAAGCAGCAACATTTTCTACTTTGATTATAAGTTTGTAAAAACAACAAGACGTTATCTTATGAGCAGTTATAAAAGAAAGGCTATACATTGGTATGAATGATTTAAGAAAATGGTTCCAGATTAGTGCTCTAGGTTTAAACTGATTCTGCCTCACTTTACTTTTTTTAGATGGAATTTCAGTGCAAGGAGGACCAGCAAGTTTGACTGCTCTGCACAGCAGCCTCTGACACCCTCTGAAACCATTTGAGATGTTACAGAAGCCCCTAATCTCACTTTCTAAGATTTACATATAGTTAATTGACATCAGTGTGGGAAAGGGGGGCACAGTAGTTTGCAAAGTTGACCTTAAGTGTGCTCTATCTTCTACTGAATAACTGATCCAGTTCAGTTCAATCCCTGGATTCCTCCAGATCTGATGCCAAGTGCTCTAGAAAAAGAGGTTGAGGTACTTCATGGAGTAACTACCAGTTTACTCTAATATTTAATGAAAGGCAGAGATTTTGCCAACCACAAAAGTTTCAGAAGGTTGTTTGTGATAGGCACACACTGAACCTACTGAAACACTTCTGTTGCACTTGCAAATTAACTGTATACTCAATTGTCCCATTTTCACATTTTCTTAAACACATATATAGTTTTGAACACTATGAAGTAAAGATACCACTTGTTTACATTTTACATTCAGAGCTGCCTATTTTGTAGTATTACTACAAAGCCATACTGTGGCATATGTAATATAGAACAGGAAACGTTTTCATTAAAATTGTAACACGTAAAAAATATTTACTCACAGCTGTTTTTATAAAACACTTGGACAAAGTCCAAATCTGAAACCACAGATGTGACTTACACAGAAATGAAGCAAGATAACCAAGCAATTAAACAAAATAATTATAAGATTGGTGATGTGCAATCTGTCTTTGTAACTACCACAGATAGTCTCTACAAATTCTTGCAAAGCTTTATTTTTTGCCCTATCTAAGAAGGGACACTATGGAAAATGAATTCAAATTTTTCATTTTATTTTGAGTGACTGAAAAATAGCCAAATACTGACATTGTTTATTTTTATTTCTGGTCTCAGATAGTGTGTTTTTTCTTCACTCTTAGATTCAGTTCAAAACATATTTTGCAATTGAGTTCTCATTTTATTTCTTCTCTTTGTTTTTCTCCTTAATCCTGGATGCCCTTGACTTATCTTTAACTTGCTCTGATCAATTTGTTTGCTGTGAGCCACACCTCTCCGTTCATCTCACTGTGGAATGGAGTTAAACACTGATCTTCACATTGCAGCTTTCCTCAGCACACTGCTTTCATGACAAAAAATGGGATCTCAGTAGCATAAAAGTTACTCATTTGATCAGATGACTCTAGTTGCATCTAAGTTCCTATCATTTCAATCAAAAGCTTTGTGCTGTT